TTGATTGGCATTTGTTGTCTTGGAGTCTGTTGACTATGTCCCTCCACTCTTTCCTTGCCCATAGTGTTTCTTCAGAGAAGTCTGATGTCAGTCTGATTGGTTTTCCTTTGTATGTTATCTGTTTCTTCCCTCTTGTCAGCATCATTATTTTGTCCTTGTCTTAGATTCTTGGGAGCTTTACTATTATGTGTCTTGCTGTATTTTCTCTTTCATCATGGAAGTTTGGTGTTCTTCTTGCTTCTTGTATGTCTATTTTCAGCTCCTTCTTCATGTTAGGGAAGTTCTCTTCAATTATTTCCTTGAATATTTTCTCTGTTCCTACTTCTCTCTCCTCTCCTTCTGGGATTCCTATAACTCTTATATTTCCTTTCCTCATGGAATCCGATGGCTCCCGAAGTCTTTCTTCATTCTTTTTCCTTTGTACTTCTCTGTCCTTTTCTGTTTTGGTTCTTTTTATTTCTGTGTCTTCAAGAGTACTTATTCGTTCTTCCATTTCCTCTATTCTGCTTTCACTGCTTTTCCCAGAGTTTTTTTGGCAACTCCCTTAATCCTTTGATCTCCAGCATTTCTTTCACTTCCCTCTTTAGGGACTAAGTTTCATTCTTCTGATCATTGATTATTTTTCCCTTATCATTATTTTCCTTTATGACTTCTTTCAGTTTTTTAATCATGGCAATTTTAAATTCTCTATCTGGAAGGCTCAGAAGTTCTTCCAAGTCACTGTTGTTGGAATCTGATGGGTGATTTTCTTTTTGTGGTGTGTCTTTTCCTTGAGGAGTTGCTTGATTGCTTGTAGTTTTTCTTCTCCCTACTCTTGTTTTCTAATTTGTCCTATGCATTGTGACACTGTGTCGCTGGTACTGGCTGGCATCTTTTTGGTGTGCTTTTTCTGGAATGTCAGAAACTGGTGGTCCAATCGAGTCAAAAACTGTTATGCCAGAAGTCCAGTAGGGCAGTGGGACTATGAATATGTTAGTAGTTGCTGTCACAGAAAATCTCCTCTTTTGTATTTGTTTAATTCCAGAGGTTGGTCTTGTGGTCCCACAGATTGCCCTGGCCATGGCTGGATTACCCACTAAGCTCCAAATCACTGGATCTCCCTCTGGGCTCCAACTGGCAGCCAGACTAGGCCTGGCTTGTGGGGGCTTTTCAGCTCATCTCTGGCTGTGGAGGCAGCCCTTTCCCAGTTACAGGCAGTCTAGGTGGTTCCACACTCAAAATTCTGATAATTTTTTTACCTTACCCTACAGGGGTGCTCTGCTATAAACATTTGTGTTCAGGTTTTGTATAAACAAAAGTTTTCAAGTGAGTTGGGTAAATACCTGGGAGAATGATCAGCAGGTTTTACGGTTAATCTGTGTTTCACTTAATAAGAATTTGAAATTGCCAAATCTCTTCCTTAGTGACTGTATGATTTTTGTATTTCCTCTGGCAGTGACTAAGGGTCCCTGTTGCTCCCCATCCTGGTCAGCACCTTGTGCACAGTGTTCCCAGTTATCTAAGGTTTCACTTTCCAAGAATTCAGCTTCCTGAAATTAACCTAGGTACAAATTTTTTTCATAAGATATTTAGAGAGAGTTCACAGTCACATCACTTTTATTACAGTATATTGTTGTGATTTTGATTTACTTTTTAAAAATTATTTCTAATCACACTGTGCCTAATTTATAAAGTAAACTTATCATTTGTATGTATGTGCAGGGAAATCTTTGTGTATAGAGGGCTCCATACTATTGGTGGTTCTGGTATCCACTGGGGGTCGTGGAATACATCCCACATGGATAAAGTGGCGCTGCTGTACTAGGATTTGGATTTAGGCCATAAAATAGGTGTGTATTGCGTGTCCCTGTTGCTTTAATATGCACTTGCATTTATATATATCTTTCAGCATATGATGTTGAGTTTTTGTTCATATGCCTAGTTGCCATCAATGTAGCTTCCTTGCAAACTGTTCAGAGTTTTGCTCAATTTTAAACAGTTTTGTGTTCCTTGTTGAATTCTAAGGGTTCCATGTGTATTCTAAAAATTGTATTATATTAGAGTCATATTTTGCAAATATTTACTCCTGGCCTGTGGCCCAAGCTCTTTCACAGGCCCAACACTCACATTAATGCATGCATAGGCATTTTGGGAAGAAAAATGAGGAGTTGCTGACTGCAGTGGGTACACAGTAGAGAAGACTTGGTTGACTGAGGATGACATAACTTATGTATTTGTTTATGTTCTTGAGTATTTATGAATCCTCTGTGTGTGGGTGAATAACAAATATTAGTTATTATCAAAATCATTTATCAAAAATTAATTACACCACAATCCCTGACACTATGAAACACTTGGCAGATCCCCCTCAGTCACTGTTCTCAGGCTCTGACCCTCTACTCTCAGACCTGCCATCTTCCTGCATGATTTTGCCTTAGAATTTCCACCTGACCAAGGTGGGCTGAATGGATGGACACAACTTCCCGCTGAAAACAGCTAAAAAAGTGAGATACATATGAGATACAAAACCCTCTTCTTAAAAGCATTGGAATTTACAATACAGTAATCAATGGCCACACCCAGAAGAGAAGGATGAGGCCCTGTGTGGGCCCCACAGAGAGCAGTGTCCTGAGGAGGAAGGGCTGTGAGGTCCCCACCCAGAGCAGACATGGAGACCAGCCCTTCAGCTGGGCCCTGAGCCTGACAGCCACACCGCCATTCCTTTCTCAATTTAGGGAGACCTGCTTTATTCTGCCTATGATGTGTGTGTGTGTGTATGTGTGCATGTGTACACACATATATAGTACAGTCCTTAGGATATAATCTGTGTTCACTAAAAAAATACAAAATGTTGCAAACAAAGTATTTTCAGACCAGGAGGGAATAAAAAACACTGTCAGCTGTTGTTAACAATGAGAAACAGAAATGTATTTAAATGAGGCCACAAGTTTGAGATGACCCCTCATTGTCAACCTTCCGCAGGCAGGGCCAGCACCTGAGCCCAGAGGAGAAGGGCTGCACAGGGGGGAGCAGGAGGGAGAGAGCAGGATGTGGACAGAGACCACCCTATCCATTGTGAAGAGCTGTGGGGCACTGGCCAGGGAGGCTCAGGGAAGCAGTGAACATCTCCTCAAGCCTGAGAGAAAGAATCTAGAGACACCGTAAACCCAATTTCTGATGACACAGAGCACATGTAAGTCACTTCTGCCACAATCCAAAGTGCTATGTCCCAAGGAAACCAATTTGTATGAAGTGAATTAGACCATTTTTTGGGGGTGGGAGGAGGTGGAGGATACTACCATCTTTACTTGAAGAGATGAATGACAAAAACTATCGTCATTTAGATTTAGCAATCTGTACATATTTTCTAGAAAATGAATGTGAGCTGCCCCTTTAAAAATATCAACTGAGGGCCTCCCTGGTGGCAGAAGGAGCTAAACACAACACTGTGAAGCTATCTGCAGCCTCTGCAGCATGGTTAGATCCCTGGCCAGGGAGCTACCCACATGGCACAGCAGATCTCTCCTGTCTTGCCTGCTGCTCCCCTCAGCAGTGTATTTCAGTCAATCTGCCTGTTCTGCTCCCCACTCTGTCTCTGGTGAATCCTCTCACCCCATGCACCTCTGGCCTGTACCCCAGTTCTTGAATGCATAAATAAATAAATATTTTTTAAAAAAAGAAAATCAACTGACAGTTGATACATGATAGTAATTAACTACCCAATTAAAGTATAAGCTCCAAGTGAAAACCAGATAATGGAAAATGTGTCCTATCGCTATAAACTTGACAACTTCCAGTGGCCACTTGCTTTTCCTTGAGGTTCTTTGGAATTAAAAACATGTATGATTTTCCATATTTGATTCTAGAATAATTAACATAAAGATCCTATAATCTGATATATTCGTTCAAGATTAATAATCAAGAGAGGCAGGCCTCCCTGGTGGCGCAGCGGTTGAGTGCTGGGTTGCGAAGCTGCCCGCAGCCTCTGCAGCGCCAGTTCGATCCCTGGCCGCTGGGTGAGGGTACCACATGGTGCGCAGACCTCTCCCGCTGCCCACTGCTTCCCTCAGCAGTGTACTTCGTCAGTCTGCCTGCTCTGCTCTCCCCTCTGGCTCTGGTGAATTCTCTCACCCTCCTGTGCTTCTGTGTCCAGTGCTTGCATAAATAAATAAATATAAAAAGTTAAAAAAAAATCAAGAGAGGCTTATGAAGTTAATGTAACAGGACAGAAAATATTCAATGATATCATTCTGCCACTCACTTTGCAAATAACATTTGAAAACCCACCACTCTTGTATAGTTTCAATTTATTGTAGACGTGGAACAAAGTTGAATACTCACAATTATCTGAAAGGTACTTAAAATACTATTTTCACATATTTCAGAAACACTGTATATTTTTCATTGGCCAACCAAAACAAAGAGTAAATGCAGGAGAAACTATGACAATCCAACATTCTCCTAGTGAGACAGAGAAGAAAAATAATTGCAAAAATACAAGCCTTAAAAGATCCACCCATGACCCTGATTATTTTCATTAAATATCTATATTTCTTTAAGACACTTTGAACATACATTGGGTTATTAATATTATTCTAAATTAAATAAAAATATCTTTAAGTTGTTTTTATTCCTCATGTAATAAATACTGAGAGTTATAACCTCCAAAAATTATAGGCGGGTCCTCGCTAATTTGAAAACTGTGCAGAGATTGCTGCCCCAGTCCCTGGCCTGGACTCAGGGAGCCAACAGTGTGACAAAGGCCTTGGAGCAGGAGAGGAGGGGGCGGCAAACTCGCAGGTGTCCCGTGAGGTTCTCAGGGTCTCTGCGCTGTGGGCTGTGCAGGGGGCAGAAGTTGACTGTTGGGCATTCCACGTCTCCCCAAGTTTCACTTCTTCCTCTCTCACAGCCTGTGTCTGGTCCTCCTTCCTGGATACTGGTCACTCACCCCAGTTCTCATTCCCCATTGCCTGGAGGGTTTCCAGAGAATCCAATCAGCATCACTGTTGCCACCAGTCTGGACTCAGATTCTACCCAGACCTCAAGTGCTCAGGTCATGAGGCCCCCAACCCTCCTGCTGCTGCTCTCAGGGGCCCTGGCCCTGACGGAGACCTGGGCAGGTGAGTGTGGGCCCTGGAGGGAAAAGGCCACTGAGGAGGGGGAACCAGAGGAACCACGGTGTGGCGGGGCAGGGCCCCTGGAAAGGCATGTCTCCCACATCGCTGACCCGGTTGTCCCCCTTGACCCCACCCTGCCCTGACCCCTTTCTGTCCTTCCCAGCCTGCTGCCTCCCTCTAGTCCCTCTGAGTCGCCAGCCATCTTTTCTGGCCCCCATTTCAATCTCAAGAGCCCCCTCGCCCTCCTCCCCGCTCCATCTCCCTGGGACTCAGCCCGGGTCTCCCCTCCCGCCCCCAGGCTCCCACTCCCTGAGGTATTTCTCCACCGTGATGTCCCGGCCCGGCCTCGGGGAGCCCCGCTTCATCTCCGTGGGCTACGTGGACGACACGCAGTTCGGGCGGTTTGACAGCGACTCCCCGGGTCAGAGGATGCAGCCGCGGGCGCCCTGGATGGAGCAGGAGGGCCCGGGGTACTGGGAGGGGGAGACGCGGACAGCGAAGGCCACCGCGCAGACGTTCCGAGTGAACCTGCGCGCCCTGCGCGGCTACTACAACCAGAGCGCGGCCGGTGAGCGGGGCGGGCCCGGGGCGCTCACGACCCCACCCCCGCGGGCGGGCGGGACCCCAGACCCCGGGCCCGAGCGTCCCCCGAGGGAGGGGGACCCGCCGGACCCTCGACCCGGGACGAGCCCCGGGACGTTCACCGGCGAGGTTTCCGGGGGGTCGGGCGCGGGCGGGGTGACGCGGGGTGACGGGGCGGGGACAGGCTCTCACACCCTCCAGGAGATGTCTGGCTGCGACGTGGGGCCCGACGGGCGCCTCCTCCGCGGGTATGATCAGTTCGCCTACGACGGCGCCGATTACCTGGCCCTGAACGGGGACCTGCGCTCCTGGACCGCGGCGGACACGGCCGCTCAGATCTCCCGGCGCAAGTGGGAGGCGGCCGGAGAGGCGGAGCGCGTCAGGAACTACCTGGAGGGCAGGTGCAGGGAGTTTCTGCGCAGGTACCTGGAGCTCGGGAAGGAGACGCTGCAGCGCTCAGGTAAGAGGGGCCGAGAGGTCTCCCACCCCCCTCAGGCCGGCACCGCGGGGAGGGTGGAGTCAGACTCACAGCAGCCCCCACCCTGGTCAGGAAGGAGGAGCCCCCCGGTTTCCTGACTCCCCAGAGGACCCCACTTTTCCTCAGAACAGTTAAGGAATCCAGTCTCTGCTGAGCCTGAGGGGAGACCAGCCCTGAAACCACCCTTCACGGGATCCTTTTGACCCACAGCCCTCTTGGGAACCATCAGTGTTTCTCTCAGGGTCTTGTTATTGGTCTAAGGACATTTTTCTGATCTGACTCCTGCTTTTCTGAGTGCCAAGGTCAGGAGCAAAAGCCTGTGCTCTCCTCCTTAGAGAACTGTGTCCTCCTATCTAGAGTTGTCGCCCTAATTCTAGAACTTTCCAAGGAATAAGAGATTATCCCAGACTCCCCAGACCAGGCTGGTTTCTAGATTTTGTGCTTCCTTTCCACACCCATTGCCCTGTCCATTCTGAAGATGGTCCCTTGAGGCTTTTTCAGGGTCCATGAGAGAAAATCCAGAGTGTGAAAGTTCTCACCCTCTCCTCAGATGCCCCAAAGATACATGTGACCCACCACCCCATCTCTGACCAGGAGGTCACCCTGAGGTGCTGGGCCCTGGGCTTCTACCCTGCGAACATCACCCTGACCTGGCAGCGAGATGGGGAGGACCTGACCCAGGGCACAGAGCTCGTGGAGACCAGGCCTGGGGGGGACAGAACCTTCCAGAAGTGGGCAGCTGTGGAGGTGCCTTCTGGAGAGGAGCAGAGATACACGTGCCATGTGCAGCATGAGGCGCTGCTGGAGCCCAGAGTCCTGACTTGGGGTAAGGAGGAAACATGGGCACAGTGTCTGCTCAGGGGCATCAGGACCCTCTCTGGAGATTTTAGGAGCATCCGATGGGGGCCTGAGGCTCAGGGTCTCCCCTTCCCTTCCAGTGCCCCCTCCTCAGTCCTCCATCCCCACCGCGGGCATCATTGCTGGCCTGGTTCTCCTTGGAGCTGTCCTCACTGGAGCTGCAGTGGCTGCAGCTGTGATGTGGAGGAAGAAGCGCTCAGGTAGGGAAGGGAGTGGGGGATCTTGTCCACTGGGGGCTTTCAGGCCACAGGTAGAACTTGCCATACCTGTAATGGGAAGTACCACCCACACGCTTGTGTTGGCCAGTCTGGAGCTGATTGCTAACCCTCTTTTGTAAAGCATTTTTGAAAATGAATCACATTGTTCACCTTGATAATGCTGATGCTGGGGCCCTGATTCCAGCAAATGGCAGAGGGGAAGGTCCCTGCTGAGGGCAGACCCAGGAGGCAGTTGGCCCAGTCCCCTCTCATCTCTTTTCTTCATATTTCCTGGTCCTGCCCTAAGTGTCCGGTCACAGTTCTGGAAACTTCCCTATGTTCCAGACATGGGGATTCCTTTAGGACTTCATTCCTGACTCCTCCCTGGTCTCACATGAGGCTTCTTTCCACAGGAGGACAAGGAGGAAGCTACACTTAGGCAGCAGGTAAGTGTGGATCAGGGGTTTGGTCCCTGAATCCCTGTGGACAGTGTCGATGGAGCCCATGAGGGAGTCACCCTCATCAGTCCCTCCTGTGGTCTCATATCTCTGTGGCTCTGACCAGGTTCTGTTTTGTTCTTCCCCAGGCAGCGACAGTGCCCAGAACCCTGATGTGTCTCTCAGCTGCTAAAGGTGAGGTCCTGGGGGCCTGTGGTGGGAGGGGCTAGGGCAGAGAGGATGGGATGAAGTTATGGGGAAGCTGTGAGGGGCACATTCTAAGGATGCGGTGGACTACGCAGAATGTCGACACTTAAGTGTTTCTTTGCATTTTTTTATGATCCTTTTCCTACAGTGTGAGCCAGCTGCCTTGTCAGGACTGAGTGATGCAGGATTTCTTCTCAGCCCTACTTTGTAATTTCGCAATCATCTGGTTTCCTTTGCTGCAAAAGTCATCTGAATGCATCTCTGTTCTTAGTAGATAATGTGAGGAGGTGGGGAGAATGCCCTAGCCCTGCCTTCCAGGCCCCTCCCCACACTGACTTGTGTCTCTCCTTGATGACTTTCCTGCTTCAGCAGAGGCAGCTTGGTTTGTGTCTGCTGTTGTCTTTGTGTTTTCCTCAAGAATAGTAACTACTTCCCTCTGGAAATAATAATTGAGTTCTGAAATTACTTATTGTAAGCTTGCCTGATGGGTTGGTGGGCTAACAAAAATGATTCCTAAAATTTGAGAGGAAATAATTATTCAAGACCGTATTGATAACAAGTTTGAGGCACATTTAAATGTTCTCGAGGAATCACTTTTACATATTGGTAATCAAATTCAACACATCAAAACTCACTTGACTACCAAATGTCATTCTGATTACAAATGGATTTGTGTCACTCCACATGTTTATAACTCTTCTTCTGTTTCTTGAAATAATGTCAAAAATCATTTACTGGGTGTTTGGGATAACACAAATGTTTCCCTGGACCTTACTGCTCTGCAGAAAGATATTAAGGCAATTAGTTTAGCTCATGTCCCCTCCTCAACCCCTGCGGAAGTTGCTGCTTCCTTCCTGGCTTCTTTGCAATGTTATACCACTAAGGTGGCGTGGATCCCATCATTTATTACCTTGGGTGTTGTTTTGCTTGTCACCATGATTATTTTGATTCTCTTCCCATTGTTTACTAAATTGCTTTTCCGTGCTATCAATCAGATACTGTTGAGATGCGAATTATGCAGATGATGGCCAAAAACAAAAAAGGGGGAGATGCTGCAGAAGGCCTTGTTGCCCCAGCCAGGTAAGACACTGGCAAGCAGTGAAGCTAAAGGGCCTCACACCATGGGGCTGAAGGTAAAGGGCCTCACACCGTGGGGCTGAAGATTTAACATCCCTTTATTTTTTGTTCTTGGTCATAAAAATTGAAAAATTTCCCAAAAAGTACATTAGGCAATAAATTATATGCATCAGTATACTGCAAATAAGCGGCATGGAAAATTATCTGTTTAGAAATTAGTTATTAAACAATTTGGCCCACTTGACAATGGGAGACAATTTATTGAACATGCCTGACAAGCAATCCAGCACAATAATTATAGTAGGACCTTCTCTTGCCTTCTTTTGAAGTTTCTTGGGAAATTTTTAAATAAAGCTATTTGAGTTAAGGAGTTTCTAGGTAGAAAAAGTTCTGATAGCAGAGTAGCAGCCGGTCCCCAGCTGAAGACCATGAGAATAAGAGGAGTCTTTTCTTGCTTAGGCTTTAGCTGATAGGGATGTACTGGCAAATATCTACTGTCTTAGGTTATTGTTTAGCTGAAACAATGAGTTTTAGTGTAAGGCTTAGTTTTTCATTAACCTTGAAGGTTGCCTTCTTACTGAGAGCACATAATGGCCAAAAGCCTATGGAAAAAGAGATGCACTGATTGTTTCTGCTTTGTTTCTATGCACATGATAATGTCATCTCACTGCTTGCAAAAAATGTATAAATAAAGAAACTGCTGAGCCTCTCAGCAGAAGATACTTGCACCTCACCAAGTGTCAGTGTCTCCTCACTACCTCATCCCCTTCCCCTCAGCCCTTAAGTTTAAGCCCCTTACAGGTGGCTGAGGCCGTCTCATCCTTTCAGGAACCCCTGACAATGACATTTTGCTGGAGGCTGGTCCCCGGCAGGGAAACCTTCCAAAATCACGTGTTTGCTGTGCTGAGTCTGTGCAGGTGGGGGCGGAAGAGGCTGTGAGGAGCCAAGGGGGACAGGGCCTGTGTCCAGTCAGTGCTCATTGCATCGTGGGCTTTGATGTGGTCACTCCTCAGGGGTCATCTCTCTGCTCCTTTGACTCGTCTTTCAGGAGCACCTGTCCCAGCAGGGCCTGTGCTCACAGGGTCAGACCCCACCTGGCCATGTGCTGTCATGTGTGGGCAGGGAGTGCTTGTGTGGCCGGGTCAGCCCAGGCTCAGCTCAGGGTTTAGCCTTTCTATGGATTCCTATTTTGTTTCTTTGGGGTTTTGGGTTTTTTGTTTTTGTTTTTGTTTTTTTTCTTTATGCCTGTTCTCCTTGATGTTTAGAGACCAAGCCTCATGTCCTCTTGGTGTCTGTCTCTGTCAGCAACAGGAGCATCTGTCATTGTCCCCACAAGGCCCAGGGTGTCCCCTGCACACAGGAGTCTGGTGAGATGAATTTCCAGACTCATCTGACTTTTGGCTCATTTAGGACTTTTTTCTGGATTCTTTCCATCTTTTCCAACAAAGTCCTGGTATTACTAGAGAGGAGGGTTTGATAACTTCCTGATGGGTTTAGATAAGTTCCTGATAGATTTCTATTTTTCTCTACAGCTTCTCCCTGTAACCCTGCCCTTAAATGTAGTAACCCCAGTGCTGGTGCTAATTGAGGTCCATCAGTTCATGAAGTAAGTTACCTTCATAGTTGGCTGAAAAATAGGACCCATAAGCCTCAGTACCTGTGCCTCCCTGGTGGCCAAGGAGTTAAGTCTCAGCGCTATTACCTCTACACCCTAAGTTCAATCCCCAGCCAGGGAGCTAACCCACAGATGGTGCAGCTGACCTCTCCTGTTTCACCTGCTGCTCCCCTTGGCAGTGTATTTCAGTAAATCTGCCTCTTCTGCTGCCCACTCTGTGTCTGGTGAATCTTCTCACCAACCCCACTCATGCACTTCTGACCTACACCCCAGGTCTTCTAAGCAAAAATAAACAAATCTTAAAAAAAAAACAACCCTAGGGGGCCTCCCCAGTGGCGCAGTGATTTCAGCGCCACCCTATGAAGCTGTCTGCAGCCTCTGCAGTGCGGGTTCGATTCCTGGACTGCCAGAGAGCAACCCACATGGTGCGGCAGACCTCTCCTGCCTCACCCGCTGCTCCCCTCAACAGTGTGCTTGGCTTGTCTGCCTGTTCTGCTCCCTGGTCTGTCTCTGGTGAATTCTCTCACCCTCCGGTGCCTCTGGCCTGTACCCCAGTACTTGTATAAATAAATCTTAAAAAAAAAAAACCCTAGGAACCCCTTTTGAAAGAAATACACCTGTGTAATGTGCCACATTAGTAAAGACTCTGTCTCTAGAACAGGGAGGTGCTCTACACTGATGACACAGATAACTGTTGCACCAGATGTGTGACTGACTGCTTGTGCAGCTAGGAAACCTCAATGAACGAAAAACATGCACAAATTGTGGCCTGTCGAGAGTGTGTCCTAGTGGGGAGGGGAGACTGGGGACTGTGTGACTACAGACCAGACAGTAAACCACGCGTATCTGGTAAGGTAAGGGATGTGGGAAGGCGACAGGATGGTTTTCTTCCCAGTGTGGTCAGTGTGGGTCTCACTAAAGTGACCTTTGAGAAGAAGTTTGATGGACACGTTCACAAGGATGTGATATGCAGGGAAGTTCAGTCCAGACAGGACAATCGCCATGTAGATGCCTGAGCAGGAATGTGTCTGAATGGCTGACATGAGCAAGGAGGCCAAGGGCTGAGCAGAGGCCAATGGAGATGGGATCTGTGTGCACCCAGGTCCTTCAGGCCTGAGGATATTGGGAGGGTTTGAACCTCTGAGTAAGATGTTGGGTGACAAGAACTTCTGAACAGATACACACCTGTGGGACTTCCCTCTGGTAACCTCAGTCTGGCTGCTGTGCAGCATCAAACGGTGAGAGGTGGGAAGAGAAATGGAGGAAACCAGTGCAGGTCCCAGGACAGAGAGGTTGGTGGCTTCGTTGAGGGGTGAGCAGGGAAATAATAGGAAGTGATAGGACTGTGCACATTTAGAAACAACATGATATCCTTCAATGTGGAAATGGATGAAAAATGCATAGGAACCATCCAAATACTACATGATAGTAAATATATAAAAACCTACTGATGCACTCAACAACCCAGACGTAGCTTAAAGGCAACATGCAGAGGGAAAAAAGTCTGTCTCAAAAGGTTGTCTATTGAGTGATTGCATGTGTATGACCTTCTTCCAGACAATATGGTAGCAACTGAAAATTGCTCAGCTCTTAAACTTTGCAGGGAAGGAGTGTGTGACAAAAGATTTAACAGAAAGGAATTGTTTTGGTTGCTCTGTAATTTTATTGTGTGGTCTCCCATAAATCCATACCAGCATTAGTAATCATAAAACTATACATCAAAAAGCTCTATTTTAGTTAATCTCAATATAAAACTTTTAAAAATTAATGAGTCACATTTTCTTTCTTTCTTTTTTTTTTTAAAGATTTGTTTATTTATTTATACAAGCACTGGGTACAGCCAGAAGTGCGGGAGGGTGAGAGAATTCACCAGAGCCAGAGCGGGGAGCAGAGGAGGCAGAAGGACCAAAGGGGAGCAGCGGGTGGCAGGAGAGGTCTGCGCGCCATACGGGACCCTCCTTCAGTGGCCGGAGAGCAGCCGGGGATCGAACCGTTGCCTCAGAGGCTGTGGGCAGCTTCGCAACCCAGCACTCAACCGCTGCGCCACCGGGGAGGCCCAGTCACATTTTTTTTTTTTTTTTTTTTTTTTTTTAATAATAAATTTTATTTTTATATTCCCCATACAATTGCAACCCCCCCATTCTGACCCCAATCCCTCCCCTCCCGCCCCCCACCCCCCAAAAAGTGTCTCTGTTTCATAGTTTTTTGTTGATTTTGATTTTCACTTTCTTATAGTTATTCATTTTCCTGGTCCCTTATTTAAGTTTTCTAGATTCCTGCTATGAGTGGGACCATCCGGTATTTTTCTTTTGTCACATTTTCTTTAACGAGGAGTTCCAGGCGTGGCGTGATGCGGAGGACGGAGGTGTGCAGGGGAGCATGGCAGAGTGCGAGAGTGTGCAAGATGAATAGCGGAGAGCATGAAGACACCTACACGGCTGCTGGAACCAGTAATGGACCTACCCAGCATGGGATGGATGCGCTACATTTGGCGTAGACTGCAGGACGGTTCAAAGAAGGACGGCTCAACACTGACAGGTATGGAATCTTTGAAACCTGGGGAAGGATTGCGGGGTGGCCACCACGAGCAGATGGTACTCGAGGGCCAGCCTCCTCTTCCAGTGGGCACTTCCCAGGAATGGCCAGAGGTGGATGGATCCCTGCTGCAGGTATAACAGGCTCTATACGAAATAGAAGAGACCCTGGGTAGAAACAGTGCCCGCGGGGTGGCAGGAGCCGTGGGATGGGTGTTTCTCACAGCTCTGTGAGAGTGAACGCAGAAAGAGCAATGCAGAATCCAGTAAGTACATGATGAGATGCGGGAAGAGATGCGGATACTACAACAACATTTGAGGATTCTGGAGGAAGATGTTCGGAGAAACCAACCCACCATTCCGGAGATGCCAGACCCTGTCTCAGGAGAGGAAGAGAGGGAGGCTGGCCCTTTGCCCGAATATCAACCGGTGATGGCAAACCAACCTGTGACTCCGGGGATGCCGGACTCCTCTGGAGAGGAGGAGGAGGCTGGTCCCAGTCTCCAGGCCCACCCAGTGGTGACTCAGAAAATGAAGCGACAGGGGCCAATGGCACCGGGTATGAGGCTACTGGACCACCACAAGTGACAGAATTTACTGTGTATCGACCAAACACCCAGGTGTAACTGGTGGACTTGGGCAAACAGTTCCACTAGAAACCAGGGGAACCCTTGGCAGCCTGGCTGCTACACTTGCGGGATGTGGAGGTGGGTGGGATTATTTGCACAGTACAAGAGATGGAGAGACTGGCCTCTGTGACTTTACATCCATCCTTGCGACAGAGGTTGCAGAACAGCTGGCAGTATGGCCAGGGAGAACACATCCTCCTGGAATGGATAATGACTGCCATACGGACAGTATGAGCTGATGCGAGAGACGTGCCGGAGACTGTGAGCAGATGGCAGACATAGGCCAAGTTGGTACAGGTACTTCGGGAATTGGGGATTCGGCAAGACATGTTCAATGTGAATACTCGTGGTCCTGACGACAAGCGTTTCACAGCAGGGATGAGAAGCTTAGTATTATAGCGTGCCCCCTCATCCTCATTTGGATCCCTCATGGAAGTTCTAGTACCCCATGTGGGACGTCAACTACACAACATCACAACAATGACAGCTAGCTGGGGTGAAGTCAAGAGCCAGTGCTCTCAAACTCAGAAAGGAATATGGGTAGTTGTTGAACAATGAAAAGGAATGCCAAGGAGGGCAAGGAAGCCTCTTGGCATTACAGAACCTGTTAAAGTTGCCCGTAACCGATGTGGACAGATTTAGTGAGGGCAGGTGTAGATCGCACTAAAATACATGTGAAGTCCAATGCATACTTGTTAGAATTATAGAAGCAGCTGCAAGAGGCCCAGAGGTTCATGCCCATGAGAAGGACTGCTGCTCAGGGGAAGCCTGGAAGCTTCAGACCTCAAGCATGCACCCTGAGCCCGGAAGACCACTTGCTGCCAACCCTGTCCTCAGGCGATGGCCTGATCACTTTCGAATAGGGTGAGGGCAAGGAACCCGTCCATAGAGGGTGAGCAGGGACAGAAGGCCACATGTGGAGCTTGCCATCCACTGTCCCCAACTAACC